CTGGTCCACTTAAATTGCTATTGATCAGAACTCTTGTAAGGGTTCCTGTTTCTGTGCTGCACCTACAGTCAGAAAGTTTTGAAGAAAACAGGTAAGAGAGGAGGAGCGGAAATAAAGAAGCCGAATTGATTTTTTTGGGCCACAAATGTTTCTGCACCTGGAGAGCCGACGAAGCCTCTGCAGCTTGATGGTGGATTTGCAACGAGCCTACCTTCTCTGTCATAGCTAATTTTCTGCTGTTTTCCTACCGATGGAAGTGGGCCGTTTGATTGGGTGGTTTGTGCTGGGAGACAGCTTGTCTCCGCTGAGTTTGGCACCACTGAACAGACACGGCGCTCCACTACTGACGGCCTGTTTCAGGCAGCATCTGTTAGAAAACTCCACTGGCTCGGGATCAAGTAACTTGTGGCATGACTCAATTTATTATCTCCTCCCACCTCCCGGTCAGTCAGGAACCCAAACCAAGCAAAAAGGAGGCAAAGGAAGTGCAGTGCATAAGTGACCGGACAGTGATTAGTTTGTTTTGGTTAAGGGGGCAGTTGTGTTGTTATGCAGCACTTGGCAATACAAACATGATCTCTCAGCAGATGAAAACATCTTATATTTGTCCTTTTGGGAATATTATAAGATTATTTAGCTAATTTCTAGATACTCCCAACTTGCTTTAAGTCATTTTATCCAGTAAAAGTGTTATTCCATCAGCAGATCATATTGTTCCATAGTGTCCCTTTAAAGTGAGCACAAACTAAAGTAGGTTAAATTAATGGAATTAAGTGTTTTTACAGAATTAACAGTGTTTTATAGAAAAACAAGATTTTTGTCTAAAAGACGCTATACGTTAAATCTTGCTTGACACAATGAGGGATATGAACTAACAAGGTAACACGAGGTTAAACGGTCAGTTGTGTTGTTATTCCACATTCAGCACTACAAAAAATGATCTCTCACCAGGTGAAAACATCTTAAATGTGGTCAATACAGCTAATGTTTCTCATTTTGGGAATATTATAAGATTATTTAACTTATTTCCAGACACTTTCAACTTGTTTTAAGTAATTTTACCCAGTGAAAGTTTATTCAATTAGCAGATCATCTTGTTTCAAGCAAAATAATTTGCATTTTTTCTTGAAACAAGTAGAACTACCTGGAAAACGACACTTGTACTAGACAAAATGACTTAAAACAAGTACAAATGTGCAGAAACAGGTTAAATAATGTTCTAATATACTTAGAAATGTTTAAAAAGTGACTATATTTAAGATGTTTTAACTTGCTAAGATATTCTTTTTTGCAGTGTAAAGTGCACTGTGTTCCTGATCCGCATTCACATTTTTGTTTATCAATGTTCTCTCACTACAATACCCAGCATGCATTACACAAATACATCACAGACCACTTAAGCTGCGTCATCCTTCTGTAGTCGGAGTGACGCCCACTTCAGAAACTCCGAATCTAAGCTGGGCAAAAATGACAGGGATTTTTGACATTTAAAAACAAAAAAAAATAAATTTATTATTATTAATTATTTATTTTTTTATCTCATGTACATTTTTCCACTGGATGCAGGTAAGCATGTTAACAGGAGGTGTAGCTGTGACTCAGTATGTTATTTATTTTGACCAAAGTGTCCCGTAAAATGATCGCAAAACAAAGTCAGCAGCATTTTTCTTCTGCATCGTGACATATGGGTCTCCAAGGATCTTAAGAGGGTCTCTGTTTACAGAAAAAAACAAGAATTTTATCTTTTAAAAGATGCGATACGCCCAATGAGGGACGTGAACTAGCAAGGTAACAAAAAGGTTTTGATTTCGGTCTGACTTTAAAGTGCATAACGCCAGCTTTAATTCAAGGTTATGTACATCTACACTGGGTTCCCCGTACAGGAACAGCAACCGAACAAATAAACATAATCTTAAGTGTCGAGCACTTCATTGAAATTCAAAAGCAGTCAATGACGACCTGAAGTCTGCGACCCACAGACATCTGGGTATCTTCCCTCACTTCTTAATCACGGATTCATTTTTCTCCGGTAATCCTCTGCACTTCACATCTGTGTTTATTGTTTACCTATTTAATTAAATAAAAAACAAAAAAGAAAGCAAGCTGCACTTAATTTACCCTCAAGGTCTAAACTTTTATGTAAACTAGACCAAGCTCGGCTCATAGGCCTCGGACTCCTGCAGCTTCTCCGGTGAACACGTATCAGTATTTTAAGTCGTTCTGGATTAGAGAATCTGCTAAACGAATACATGTAAACATAAACATTCTGTCGGCCTTGAAATCTCCACTGTGGCTTTAGTAGTACGTTCCACTCACTGCAGTCACTGCAGCATCTGAGCAGTTAAGATGCTTCTATTCACTTCAGAATTCATCCTGCAGTCCGTGTTTACATCATCGGTGAGGAGAAGTGAGTCAGTCCCACCGCCAGCTATAACTGCCCATTTCTCAGACAGGGTGAAATGTTTTGAATCATGCACAGTTTATGTTTTTCTCAACGCTTTCCTCATCCTGTCATCCTGGTAGAGGTTAATCTTCATTTAATCAGTTCAGAAGACTTCCTCAGAACTCTGCAGGCCATCAGAACCTTTTCAGGAAGCTTTCTCAGGTCGTTTTTGCACTTTTTAGTAGATATTATACCAGAAACACGTCGGTATCAGCAGATAATTGTTCAAAAAACATGTTGGCATTGGGCCGATGTCTAGATTTAGCATTAATTGACGAGATCAGACATTTCAAACCAATATTTAATGTACTTATTGTACTCCGGAAAAGCAGAAAGTTTAGGCAACGCTGGGCAACTGTGCTAAAAAGACTGCATTTTATTTACACCGGTCAGGCATAACATTATGACCACCTCCTTGTTTCTACGCTCACTGTCCATTTTATCAGCTCCACTTACTATATAGGTGCACTTTGTAGTTCTACAGTTACAGACTGTAGTCCATCTGTTTCTCTGATACTTTGTTAGCCCCCTTTTACCCTGTTCTTCAGTGGTCAGGACCCCCATGGACCCTCACAGAGCAGGTACTATTTGGGTGGTGGATCATTCTCAGCACTGCAGTAACACTGACGTGGTGGTGGTGTGTTAGTGTGTGTTGTGCTGGTCTGAGTGGATCAGACACAGCAGTGCTGCTGGAGTGTTTAAACACTGTGTCCACTCACTGTCCACTCTATTAGACACTCCTACCTTGTCGGTCCACCTTGTAGATGTAAAGTCAGAGACGATAGCTCATCTGCTGCTGCACAGTTGGTGTTGGTCATCCTCTAGTCCTTCATCAGTGGTCACAGGACGCTGCCCACAGGACGCTGTTGGCTGGATATTTTTGGTTGGTGGACGATTCTCAGTCCAGCAGCGACACTGAGGTGTTTAAAAACTCCAGCAGCACCTGGTCGGTGTATTCCACCGTATATGTAATCCTCTACAGTCCCACATCAGTCACTGACTCACTCTTTCACTGACTGAGTGACTTAGTGAGCCAATCAGTCAGTGAGTCAGCCAGTCTGCCAGGCAATAAGTGAGTAAACATCATGGCACTGAAAGACTCAGTGAGTCACTGATTCACTCAATGACTCACCGATTCACTGACTAACACACAGTGACCCACTGACTCAATGTGCCCCTCAGTCAGTCTGTCAGTAAAAGATTAAGTCAGTGACTCAGTGAGTGAGAGTGAGTCAGTCAGTAAGTCAGTTAGCTTCATGTTACTGACTGACTCAATGTGCCACTCACACAGTCAGTCTGTCAGTCACTCAGTGAATGACTGAGTCAGTGACTCAGTGAGTCGTCCAGTCAGTGGGTTAGCTTCATGTTACTGACTGACTCAATGTGCCACTCACACAGTCAGTCTGTCGATCACTCAGTGAATAACTGATTCAGTGACTCAGTGATGCAGTCAGTCAGTGAGTTAGCTTCATGTTATTGACTGACTCAGCGACCCACTGATTCAATGCGCAACTCAGTCAGTCTGTCAGTCGCTCAGTGAATGACTGAGTCAGTGGCTCAGTGAGTCAGTCAGTCAGTGAGTTAGCTTCATGTTACTGACTGATTCAGCGACCCACTGGCTTAATGTGCCACTCAGCCAGTTAGTCAGTCACTCAATGAATCATTGACTCAGAGAGTCAGTCAGCCAATCACTGAGTCAGTTGGTCAGTGAGTGAGTCAGTCTCAAACTCACTCACCCTCCCACCCACCCACCGACTCAGAGAGGCACTGATTTCACTGGCCCTGACATTTCTTTGGTCCTCATATTGCAAGACAACAGCAACAGTCTACAGATGCAAATGCCACATGAAGAGTGAACACTAGACCTTGTGTTGCCTCCTTTGTGCATGAATTAATGATGCAACATCACTCCAGACAATGAAACAACTGAAGTAAAAGCCCCTGTCCATTTATTTACGGCCTGTATATAAAAACAGCTGCTATTCATTCTTTTACGGCTGCAAACAAACTTGAATTATAGCCGACATTCTGCACTTTAACCTCACAGTCACTGCCTCACATCACACCCAATGCGCTGGGATGCTGAGCCAAAACAAACACTGCTCCAGTGTCCAAATACTTACGGCCTGCACCACGCGCACCGAGGCTATTAGTGCACGAGAGAACGTGGTGCAACATTAACAGTATCTTCATTAGGGATGACTGTGTGTCTGTTTGCGAGTCTCGCTGACCTTGTTAATATAACGGATCACTTCACTAACGCAGCTTTTCAGAGGAGGCTTCGGCTTAATTTAACCAGGCAGAATAAATAAATATATAATAAACGAAACTATCCAGGGCCTTTACAGCTCGCTTTCGCAGGCTGAGGCTGGATGGTGCACACGCTGTAATTTATGGCTTCTCTTAATCAATATTAAGGAGGCAATATGAAGGCTAGCTTAGCCAGTGCCACTCAAACAACGGGAGGAGGCGACAGACGTTAATGGAGGACCCAAGAGGCAGGATGGGGAACTCATCAATCACACTCTATCTGATGTGTACAGCACTGAGTACTTACTGTAGTAGCCGTATAAGACCGTGTCTTCAATCTGTCTCCTTGTTTCATTGCTTGCGGCCCAGTCCTGGAATAAAAAAAGAAGAAAAAAAACACTTTTACACCAAAAACAACATGGATTTCATAAACGTGAGACGTTCAGGAGCAACGTCTCATTAACCATGACTCCCTGGAATTCTAGCTCAAGGGTTTTTAGTAAAGGCAATGAGTTCTACATAGAAGCATCCGCACTCTTAACCCTCTGAGGTCATTTTCTCTATTTGTTCATCTCTTCTTAAACTCCCCTTTAAAGGCTCTTCATATAATATGATCCTCATATGATTCATATCTAAATGCTCCGTTATCTTCATCACTACTTTCCAAAACCGCTGCAGCAGCTTCAGCAGCTGTAAACTCTCTGCACGCCGTTTCACATGAGTCTCCGATATGGACTGAATGAAGAATGAAGGGTTTCCGGCGTGATGGTCGGTCCTTAGTGATTTCCTGAGTGTCCATTGGTCAGTTTCACACAGAATGTAGACGGACAAACCAATCCACCAGTTCCACACGGTGAGAGACAGATGACGTGTATCTCAGCCCCTCTTCATAGGCTCATAACTCCGGATGTGAGTCTCGTATGATCTCGAGATAAGATGGAATGGAAAGGGCGACTCTACAGATTCAGGAAGTGTTTGAACTGGATTTCTGAGCTGGATCATCACAAAGATACAGACGCAGATATAGAGACAGAGAATTTGGACCCCAGAGGTTTAAAGTTTATGGTAAAATGCTTCTTCAGATTGATGGAGAATGTTGTATATGATTCTATGTTGAATTATTTCAAAAATGCATCAAAAAGGCTTCTCCCTTTGTTGAGATGTCAAGCGTGAAACATTTGAATAACCCTTTTTTGGTGCTATATAGAGACATATACAACAAAAAAAACAATAACAAGAAATAAGAATGAAAAACGAGGATGAAGTATTACAAAAAACTTATTAATGTGCTTCTGGATGATGCAACAGCAAAATAAACAGGAATTATAAGCTGTAAAGTCTAAACATTCAAAGAAAGTGAGAATTAACCCCTTAAAACTTTTCAAATTTGACAAGTTTCAAGAGTAAAACACCACATTTCAGACGTTTATTAGCCAGCATGAGTGGTACAGCTTGTCTTGTAAGTTGACGTTTGAATTTAGGAACTTTAAAAAGAGGCATCTTTATTATTCATTTCATATTTAGGCACATTTAACTATAACTTTTTAGCTTACAAGAAATTGATAATCATGCAAATGTACAAAATAGTTTTTCGCTCACAAAGCTGATACAGTTCAGGGAAAAGTTCCTGCACAGGGCTTTGATTCTGACACTCCACATAGAGAAACAACCATGGCTGATTTCATGCATACTTTAATTTCTTATTCGAATTCTCCTGTCCCACCTTAAATGGTGCAGCAGCTACATTCTGGAGCTTCAGGCACCATTTAAGATGGAATGGGAAAATTTGCACAAGAAGCTGGCGAATGAGAAGCGACTTGAGCCTCGTAAAAAGTCGAACTTTGAGAAACGTTTTACAAGAAACTGTACCAATTTTAAGGAAAAGTTTCCTGCTGGAGGTGCGAGAAAAGCAGCTATAGCTGAGCTAAAGTTTAAAGCAGAGCAAAGTAAGTCTGTGTTTTCATTTATATTATATTTTTTATTCTATTCTAGAACATCAGCACATACTGAGACAGATTTACAGCCAAGATGGTAAAATGGACATAAAATATTGTGGCTCCCAAGGTGGTTTGATTTTTGTTGAAGGAACAAAATGGCTCTTCTTAACATTTGGGTTGCGACCCCAGGCCTGTTGAGCCCTGTGCGCAGTCCAAGATGACTGCTGATACTGTAAAGCTCACCTTTTGTGGTGCAGATAGAGCCACAGAACTGTAGAAACATCAAGTCCAGCTCAGCCTTTTCAGTTGTTGCCAAATTAAGCTGAATGTCATTTTGTACCAGCCAGTCTGTAAAGCACTTTGTAGCCCATCTTATTTGCTGAACTGTACTGTGTTTCTAGCCAATTCCAGCGTGTTCAGCTGTTCTGCCGTCACTGCAGTCAACCTAACAATTATCATAGTAACAGCATATTCAGAATCCTCCAGTGGCTTATTGCTTTTAAAACATAGCAGCCAACATAAAATATGGTAAAGCGCACTATTTTTCAGATAATAAAGTTGGTTATTATTAATAATAATAATAGACATAAACAAGTATTCCGCCAAGAAATGTAGTTCCTTTAGAGTTTGGTATCATTGCCAAGTAACCATTGACCACGGAATGTCAAGAACATTTGGTCACCCATTGCTGTACACTGCGGTCATTTCATGAATTTTGAAACTTTTTGTCGCATAATAATGAACATATGATCACACAGCACTGTTTAATACAAACCTTTGCTTTGTAAGTACTTATTGGTCACCAAATTACCACTGTGAGTCTTATTTATTAATTTATTTAGCACCAATCCAGCGGCGCCCTCTTCTCACGATGGGGCTGGATCTCAAACGGCTCCCTGCTCCCTACATAGTGCACTACAGGAGTTTAAATACTGGATCCTGCAGCCCAACAGAGCAAAATACAGCTAAGAAACAGTCATTTGGGACGCAGACTCATCCACACTCGATACATGATGCACTGTTTGTCTGTAGAGGCTAGAATTTCTAATCTTTATAGCTAGAACACTATTTAGGGAGTACGGAGCCGTTTGGGATTCAGCCTGGGTTTGACGCCACTTCTGACTGAAACACAAACATTTGAAGCATGTAAGACATTCTGGTGACGTTCTTTAGATTTTTATACCGCAGTTTTACAGTTAATCACACTGTAAGTGCTTTAATTCAAGCCTGTGATATTAATGATGGAGCTGTTTAGGCTGCTGGCTCTTTTAGCCCGTTAGCTAGCTGACCAGCCTGGGTCCAGTTAAGAACATAAGCTGTCAGCCCTCAGCCAATCAGATTTTAGGACCGTTTTATAATTTGGAATAATGCGCTTCGAGTGACATGACTGGCTGTTATCAGATTCGCTTAAAAAGGTCAGTATCGGTGCCGATCTGATCCGGAGTATAGGATCAGTCCACCACTACAGCATATGGTGTACCTAATAAAACGGCAGCTCAGTCTGGAAGTAAAGCCTGTGGTGAGCTGTGCGTTTCTAATACACTGCAGACACAATGCAAACAAACACTCAAAGGAAAAAGAAAATACGGCACGATCGGGCTAATCAAGAAGGCTCCACCTGCCCATACGAAGGAGAGAGACTGATAAATGACTCAGGACAGGCTTCATATACTGCTCCTCTGTGAGGTGTTGTGAGGGAGCAGCGCTGTTTTGGCGATAGCTGCTTTTTTCCAGCCGGTGTGCAGCTTTCTTTCCCCTCAATGTGACTGAGATTCTATCAAAAACGTGACCTGACAGGTTGATGACTCACAGCCTCTCAAAGCGGATCCAAATGCCAGAGTGAATTGCTGTCTACCCCGCAGCCGTAAATCACTCTTTCTGATGCCCCCCGTCCATCCCGGGTCCCACCCCCATCCCTCTCCGGTCCATTGTTGAGAAAGATCACACTCTTAATTGGTACATGGGCCAGGAAATAACCTTAATCCTGAACTTGGATCAGGCTGACCTGATAAATAATTACTTCTTGCTGCTCGTTCAACAGTCTGCAGGCATCAGTGCTTCCAGTTATTCGTTTAAAGAGCCGGTTCTAGAGGTGGGCGATATGGTGAAAATATAATATCGCAATACTAAATAAAAATTTACAGAGCCCTGCTGTATAAATAAAAATAATGCATGGCCACAACTTAGCAAGGCATGATCTCATTCACTCGCCTACTACATCTTGGCCCCGACTGAAATATCTCATTCCCATGCCTTACTAAGTCGTGGCCATGCATTAGGATCCCATTCCCATACGCTACTTTGGCGTAAATACGCATTATTTTCATTTATAGGAGATGTCACCAGCAGGGCTAGGTAAAAAATTTACAATAAACAACATGTCATGACATTTTTCAACACAACTGATCAGAGAATAAAGATCCAGTTGAGCTATATGTGGCGTGCGCCCGTCCCCCGGGTCCCAGTGGCGGCCACGAGAGCCGGCAGGAAGGCGATGCCCGAGCGGCAGAGTTCAGGAGTCCCTGCCTGCATTTGTGACTCTCGTAGCCGGCATCGTCGTCTTCCTCCTCCCGCTGTCACTCGCATCCCTCGGCGGAGCTCGGGCCCTGTAACCCCCCTCACCCTTCCTTGTGGGGCTTTGTCCTCGCTCAGAGTTTGGGCCCCGCCTTCCTGCGAGCTCATCGGGGCCCGGGGGGTGGGCGCATGCCACACTATATTTTAAAAAATACTATAAAAACTGTGAACACAATCATTTTTATTCAATATTTGGCACTAAATTCAGTTAAACAGGACTATTTTTGCTCTCTTTATAATGAAACATGCGGTTGGTCAGTGTTTACGATGTACCTGATATGTTCTGAAAAGCATATTTCACATAAATTATCACAATAACGATATATATAGTCTTATTGTTCAGCCCTCGCCTGTTCACTACACTAATTTTGCACTCTGCTTTTAGGCAAATCAGCTCGCGCAGGACTCAGACAGGCAGGAGTGAGGCTGTTAGAATTAACACAGAGGTTAAAAGCTGTATTCAGCAACATTTGGGCCTATGCTTCTACAATCACAGCGTGACTAAAAGTAGGTACAACTGAAGCAGCAAAGGTGTTTAAACAGTGCAGCTATTATTAATATATTACTGTTGTTGGAAGAAAAGCTTGTATCTCATTTTTTATCGTTATCAGTTTTTGACATCATTTGAAAATCCCTGTTGCTCTTTACATTGTGTGTAAATTTAATGATGAAACTAATTGCTCAGAATTACTTGGAAAGAAGTCTGGTTCCACTGACTTGAATCAAATTCGTACAGTACGCGTTTTTCCTTCTCCTGTAAAGCTTCCGTTTCAAAGACACAAGGTTTTGTTCCGACAGCCACCACATGGAAAATCTTACAAAGAAAAAAAATCGTAGTGGCGCAGCTGTCGATCCCTGCC